TAAGCGAACTCTGAACATCGGGGCCAAATCGAATAGCGAAATAAACTAAATCCAGAGTCCTCGAAACGCCCATCATTCATGATCAAACAAAAACTCTTGTCCACATCCAACTACTCGAGTCTGAAGTCCCAACCGACCAATTCCCCAGAATCAAAAGGTCCAAACCTGGTTTGTATTCCCCTCCGTACATTCCCAAGTCTGCAATCCCATTCCGCGGTCAAGGATTCCACCAGCGAGATCCAGACACTGATTGTTTGGGCTTTTGGCGGTTCTAAACCTATTCCCTTCAACGATCCATCCAGTGACGGGGGTGTCGCCTGTGTCTGATCCGCAACCGGCTACCCGAAGGCCGGCACCGTTGTATGCTAGGGCGAGTTTGTGGGCAGAAAGGACTAGGAGAAAACAAAGGGACGTACATCCGAATGGTTGATCACCATGCCCGAAAATCGTATGCCAGCTCTTGAGACACAAGTTTGGTGCACCGACCGATTGAACCTCGGTCTCGCCCTCGGTGAAGTTCCAGAGAGTGAAATTAGACTCGGCGCACGGGTAGCTAAATGATCGTTTGGGCTAAGTGAGCAGGTCATTGGTTTGGGTGAGCGAACACTCACATCACGGCGTTGGTGTCGGTAGGAGGAGTCGGTGCACCGCCGTCGTAAGGGACAATACACCAATTGGTGTTGCCGTTCTGGAAGGGGGTAAGAGTTCAATCCGAGTCGCGTCAACAACGATCTGAGAGAACATACAGGATGAAGAGGACGTCCTCCAGCCTGACGAGCGCCAACAGTCACGGTCATAGCTGAGGCAGTGGTCACGGTGGCGCATGACACAGCAAGGGCGATGAGGGAAGAGAAGTGCATTTTCCGCTGACTGTGAGAGAGATCGAGGTTGGGAGTGATTAGCTCTGGCTCTCCTGCCACCCTTTATATGTTGAGAGCCTGGCTCCTTGAGATTATGTGTGTCGGTCTCAAATCACCGGTGTGGCAGGGTTGGTAGGAACGGCGCGGGTTTGGCGGGGTGGGTAGGGGCATGAAACTTCCCATCATGCCGTGTATGAATTACTGAACCATGTCGAGATGATCGACACGTAGTACCCGAGTGAAGGATCAGAAAAGTCAAAAAGGTACCTCGGGGTATACGGTTTATTAATAAAAAGTATCCGATGTCGAAGTGGTTGGCATGACCAAACGAATTGGAAAGGTTGTGAATATATAAGGTCCAATTTAAAAATTCACACATGGTAAAGCTGACCTGTTTGTAGCTAAGTAGTATTCTACGGCGAGCTATTCTTGGCTGACCGTCTCATCCCTGCTACAGAGCCTATTGATACTAGCTATTGTTCGTTCACGGTCTCTAAGGTGTGCGTAACATCTTCAGTACCCGAGATAAACGAATAGGAAGTGTATTTGGATCGACAAACCCACATCTTCATCCAGCTATAGTCACACACTCGAGTCTCAACCGACCATTTTCCCGTAATTGAAAAGTCTAAACCTGATTCGAATTCCCCTCCGTACTGTATTGCCTTTTTGGGAGCAGGGGATTCCATCCGGGAGATCTAAGCACTGATCAGCTTTCGGAAGCTCTCAGCATAGCCCAAGAGATGTACATCTAAATGGTCACGGCACAAACCATCGAAACAGCTATCAAGTCACTTCACCACGAAAATCCTCGGAAGGGATACCACGGCGTGAAGGTCATTTTGCAGTGTGAAGAAAAATGGAATTGGGCGTCCAAGTGCGCACGCTCCCGGTTTAGGAGAAGTCAATCTCTGCATAACTTGAACGAGTTGAATTGAGTACAGTATACCCGAGTCCCGTACCCCAACCGGCTACTTTCTCAGAATCAAAAGGTCCAAACTTGATTCGAGTTCCCCTCCGTACATTCCCACGTCTGCAGCACCTTTCTGCGCGCAGGAATCCCGTCCGGGAGATCCAAACACTGATTACTCGTACTATCGGCGACTCTGAACCTATTGCCCTCCACGACCCACCGGGTAACGGGAGTGAGACCTACGACTTCACCGCACCAGCCTACGCGGAGACCAGCACCGTTGTATGCTATTTGGAGAAGGGGTAGAAGTGGGACAGTTGGGTTGCGAGTGAAGAAAAGAACAAAGGGGACGTACATCCAAACGGCTGAGGGTCACCATGACCCCAAAGTGTATGCAAACTCTTCAGACACAAATCTGGTGCACCAACGGATTGGATCTCCGTCTCTCCCTCGATGAAGTTCCAGAGGGTAAAATCGGACTCGGCGCACGGGTATCTGAATTGTTGTGGTCAGTCTCGGGCAAGTCAGAAGTGTGGAATACTTCACATCGCGGCGTGGACGTCGTGGGAAGGGGTCGTTCCTTGATCGGCGTCGGGAACGATACACCAGTCTGTGTTGCCGTTCTGGAAGGAAATGAGGGGTTCAGTACGAGGAGACGCATAGATGATAGATGGAAAGAACGAACAGGATGGAGAGGTCGTCCTCCAGCCTGACGAGTACCAAAAGTCACAGTCATAGCAGAGGCAGTGGTTGCGATTGCGCACGACACAGCAAGAGCGACGAGGGAAGAGAAGTGCATCTTTACCTGACAGTGAGAGAGAGCGAGGCCAGGAGTGGTGAGCTCTGGTTCTCCTACCTACCTTCTTATACGACAAACTCCTGGTTCCTTGGGATTATGTGCGACGGTCTTGAGTCTCCGGTCGGTAGGAACGGCGCGGGTTTGGCGGGGTGGGTCAGGGCACGAAACTTCCCATCATGCCGTTTCTGAATTACTGTACTACTTTGAGACGATCGACGCGCAGCACCCGAGTGATGTATCAGGGAAGTCAAAAAGGTACCTCGTGGATGCAGTTCATGGATAGTATTCGATTTCGGCGTGGATGGCCAGGGAGGTCCAGTGATACATCGGAGTGGCATTTGTTTTTCTATTCGTGGAGTTATAGACGTGATGGTTTTGACTATATCCTTCAGACAGGGACTGTCCTCCTTCGTCACCGATTAGAAATCGACGACCAGTTGCCCCGCGGTGGGATTGTGGCCGAGTAAACAAGACAAACGTGCATGACAAGCATTGTGAGTACGGTGCGCTTGGGCGAACCCAAGAACGCAAACACTGGATGGCTAAGAAGTCGAGGCCAACGCTAAGACCCATTTTACCCGAATTGCCAGAAGTCGGCCCGAGCCAACTGCCATTCTATCGATGTGGAACAGTGTAAGTACTACCAGGCATGGAGCCAGATACTTGTGATTGGGAACTAACTTCCCGTGATACTTTTCAATGTGTTTCTATCTAAAAGAAATGTTGATCATAGAAACGGATTATCTCCAAGGTCATCACTACACAGGGAAACCCGAACATTGTTTGATAACATCCGATGTGGTGTAGTGGCTAACATTGCTGTCTTTCATGTGTGGAATTGTGGATATGTCTCACAGCAGCCCGGGGTTCGATTCCCCGCATCGGAAGTGGGGGTCCTTTAGCAGTAATTTCTATTTTTCCATGATGATGATATAACCCAAATATGTAGCTCCGAGGGAGTTACCGTTCGTCGCCGACTCCTCTCCCGTGGCGTGCCATCTTCCCTCTACTGATTTGATATACAGAATCTCCCATGAAATTCGTTGACAGTCAAGTTCATACGGGCGAGAAAGAGCTCTTGCTACGTATCAGGTATTAGAAGGGTAAGTAGCATACCGTCTGCAGCCTGAGTTTTCACGCGTTTCCCCCACAAACCCTCGCACCAAACCGCCTTGAGACTCGGATTAACAAAGTCTCCACGGTGCTGAGAGGCCTGACAGAAAGCGATTCAGTACCGCGACCTCACACGCATATAGAGAGCCAAGAGACTCACGTTGATTCATTACTCTCGCCGTCTCCCACGTTCGCCAATGTGCCAGCCGTAGCTCATAGAAAAGTGCCACAGTGCCAACGTTGGATTGCGGGTACCTACATTGTACTAGACCCTTTGCTCGGGGCGTGTTCCGTGGAGAATCGATGGTGAGTGTGATTCGAGAGCCCCGAAATAAGAGGATCGAACTTGAGGGCGAGGGTAGCCTCACAAGCGGTGGTTAAGGGGACGCAGATCTTCTAGGTAGCCAGGCGATGTGTCGAAGAGGAGCGGGAGGTACCGTCGCTGGTGTGATTGAAGAGCGAGGCTGACTGCCGTAGTATAATAGTTGAGGTGGATCGTGAAGAAAACTATGGTCAGACGTGCTGCGAGGGCGCGATGTAAAGATAGAACGTACAGTCGGTTCCTGGTTGTCTCGCTAACGTCCTTCTTTCACCGTGCCAGAAGCAGCCTGACGGCCTATGGAGGGAACCTTAATATCGAGTAGTCGAATGGGCCACCCGTATTATCCGACTGATACCGAGAATGTCTTGCTTCCACTGTTTCCAAAAATTGACTCGGGCGTTCACTGGCAGCGAAGAGTTCTTGATTGTTGGTTTCCGGTGTGTCGACGGTCTCTATTCAACGTCATCAGTAAGAGCCCTCTGATCAACGCGACAAGAAAATTTGCACCTCGGTTGCATGGACCAGCACCCTTCAGCTAGCGTTCGTCGTGACTACCCGTGAGTATCGGTGAATCTCCTTCCTCCTATTTGCGACGCGTGTGTTTAATGAGTAGGATATCTCGTACAAAAGTCACTTTAGCTCGCCCAGGGCCTTTGAACAGAGAGGGGAAAACCGATGATGAAAGCGATAAGGCGAGGTGAAGAGAGAGAACAGTTACAATGCATGGCTTGGGTGGAAGCGAAGAAACTACGGAGGCCAGCAACACCGGACGCACGGACCAACTTTAGGAGAGGTCGATTTTCTCGCCAAAGGTCATTTCCTTTCCTCAGATGCGCTTGACACTCAACAATTATAAGCTCTCACTAGCACGAGCCCAGCTTTTGTATGCCTTCATCTACGGCACCGGGCAATGCGAGGGGAGAAGGTGCAAGTCGCCTTCATGGTGATGCCAACTTGCCAGCCCTGTAGCTTTAATGATGCCCTATATGTATGTCCCTGGTAGTATATCGGTTAGTACACGCGCCTGTCATGGGTCATAGCTGAAAATTCGCGCGAAAGCTGGGTTCGACTCCCAGCCAGGGAGTCATAATTTGGGGGGCTAAACAATTTTTCGCTATATCGAGATAAATGGAGCTCACACTCTAAAACCTCTTGCTCACTCAAGTCCCATGTATCTAGGCTTGATCGGGAATACTCAATTCGCCATATTTATCTTGGGGACTTAGGGATATAGCTTGGCATGCGGACAAGACGCGTACGACGGTACGCCGTAAGTATTTCCGGTCATCACCCGTTCAAAGGTCAGCTGGCAATGGCTTGCTGAATCATGAGTACATCGTATGTAGATAGAAGGGAGATAAAAACACTTGACAGAGATCAAGTGTCTCATTTCAAGGGCATCAAGGATTATAGCTAAGATTCATGAATTGACCTGCCGCCCAGGTAACTGACAGTCATGAAGACCTTCGGGCTTTTTAGGAGCGGACTCCAGAGAGGTCCGAAGGTTTGACCCACATGGTAATAACCGGCGTATTGAGCGGGACCTTAAACTACTGAAAGTACTCGCTACTTCTGCAACGAAGCCGACACTGGCGAAAGACTGTGATTAGTAGGTTATATTGCTTTACGCCCAATGCTTAGGGGTATTGGTATAACTTTCCTGAGGGCCGAATTACGAACGGTTTGAACCGGAATTTACGGGATCCACAGACCCGAGTTCCACGTTCAACTCCTTGCCTCTGCCATTTGCCTCAGCTAGTATTTTCTGTCAAAGTGATCATGAAATGGAGCCACTCAGAAACAGTTGGTGGTAGGTAAGAAATGTTGGTCTCAAGTCTCGTGCATACTAGGATCTGTAATTTCAAATCCGATGTGGTGTAGTGGCTAACATTGCTGTCTTTCATGCCGAAACTTGCACAGCAGCCCGGGCTTCGATTCCCCGCATCGGAACTCACGCGCGGGATGTATCTAAGGTTTTTTTTGTATTGTCACTGCCCTTGGTGTTCTGATTCAACACTTGGATTATCTACCACCGCCACCCTTATCTTCCTGCGAATGATAGATCGAAGGATATACAGTCAGATGCAGACTTTGTTCAGCCCGGGGAGAGCCAACGATGATTACGGTTACCCCCTGAATGTGATGGATGTGTCTCGACTCTCGTGCGCGGGATGGGTGTGATTGAATGATATTATAGGCCTTTGGTGGTGTATAAATAGATTCGATAAGCCTTGAACAGCAGTTGGCTGGTCTCTCGAACGAGTATATACAAGATATGAAGCATTCGATCAGTAGGAGTAGCGGCACATAGGATGAGAAGCGACACGTTGGCTAGTATGTGTCGGATCTGACTGAGAATCGGCACATTTTGGTGGGGCCCCAAAAAGGTAACCGTGCAAAGAGGTATAAACAGAGCCTCCTTTCCTCTCGACCGTCACCGTTGTTGATCGTTGTCAAACGCGTCCTCGACGCGATCGGTTTGTGACAGGATGGCACGTACATTCTCATCCACAATGGATTGTTGATTTCTATTCCTTTTCCGTGTACCACCATTGTCGTCAGTACCCTCGCCGCCTCTCCACCAGCAATGATGGCAGCAAAATCCGTATCAGACCAACCCTTCATCAAAGCACTACCATCATCGGTTGTTGAGGCATTCCGTCACTTGGTGCGTATCTCATAATACCTTTAAATCAATTAATTTGACACATGACCGTAGGATTATGTGCCCAACGACCTCAAGATATGTATGAGAAATCACCCGCATCTATTCAAGAACAGTCTGGACTGGATAGTTGTTGCCGACCTGAGGATGTTTATCGATGAGAATGTGCAGGTTTTGGACGATGTCTACGTGCCCTCAGATGGAGACCTGCAACATATTGAACAGTTTCTGGCCACGGTGGCATCGGATTCCAGCTTCTCAACGTGCACTTTGAACGTCGAAGGGTCACTCTTACAGTACCTTTACGACGGTGAACCAGATGGTGAACGAGCACCGAAACGGCCAAGATGGGAGTAACTATGAACTAATCACAGACTTTTGTATAGAGATTGGATCTATGATACCCGTATTGTAATGTACACTACGCCTGCCTGCCTTGTACTATGATAATTTTTCACCAAGTCCATGTTTTGTGTCTCCTCAGAGCGTGCTCTATGTGTCGCGAATCCTCTCAACGGTTTTGGGCGGTTCCCAATGTGTTGGTTCGTATCTCGTTGATCCCGATGATGTTTTCGTGTGAAGTCTACTACCCGCTGGTAAAGGCAATTGGCTAGCTAGAGATTGAGCCTGTGAGGTTGATTATTTGGGGGACTTGTTGTCTTTATTTTGGTTGTTGTCTGGGGTACCTGGTTCAAATTTGAGGATAGGATTCCCAGGTCAAAGCCCATAATAGATCCTTTTCATCTCCGTAAATAAAAATCCGACGGGCTCGTTACAGTATTCCTGTAAATAATGAGACTCACGAAAAAAATTTCAAAGAAAAAAGAGCCGGAAGCCATAACCCAAACGGGTAATTGACAGGGGCTCACTGCTTCCTCCACACCGATTGGTGACGCCATTGCCAGTTCACACTGCTCCATCCCTGTCCTTCCTCCTCCCTTCATCTGGATCCTCTCCTCCATGTTTTGCTCGATATATGGATATCGTGCCAACAATATGCCATTGTGATGAGTCTACACAGTCTACAATGTACGTGAGGCCTTGAGGGCTCACGGTAGTGCCAGCAGCGATGCGAGATCCGGGAGGCCGCAAGGGGGTGGCAAGAATGGAATTTCTGGTCCGAGGTAGGGGGGGGGAGGGGGCCGAAGGCCCTTAAAAATTTTTGTACCTACCGAAATTTCGGGTTTCAAGGGGTCCTAGAAGCCCCTCAGAGGTTTTATGACGAGCATTATACTACGTTGAACACACACTAGATAGGTACCTTGCGTGTGCTGTAGCCAGAAATTGAACATCAACACCCGATGTTTTCGAGAAATGAAGCGCTAAGTGAAATTATTAGTTAACCGGCACGTGAAACACGTAGAGTTACAGTTACCATATATAGCAGGAGAGGGGGAGGGGGGGGTGCCCGACTGGGCTTAAAAAAAATTCGACCTCGTACGAAAATTAAAGAATTGCCACCCCCTTGGGAGGCCGCCTCCGACATCGGGACAGGGGTCAAGGTTGGTTCTCCTTTTTGGGCCTTCATCTTTCGCATTTTTTTTTGAAACCTTTTTTTGCGAGTCTCATTATATACAGGAATAACTGTAATGAAGAGCACCTCACGCATTGTTCCGGTTGATTCGGTGTAAGACCCGTCAGTCGGATCCGTCCCCACAGCCTTTGCTACACAGATAAGGTCGACTGGGTAACCATGATCGGACAGCATAACAAAAGAGCAGGGATCTAGCCAAAGATCCGGGATGGGAGAGGTTGAAGCGGCGATGATGGATCTGTGGGCTCAGAGCTCTGATTTACGTTATGGTACTAACTGTATCGAGCAAGCGTCTCTCGACCATAACTCGCGGTGTAGTGACTAACATTGCTGTCGTTCACGCTGATTTCCGATCGCTTGCGAAGGACAGCAACCCGGTGTTCAATTTTCCGCATCGGAACTCGTCCACGCGTATAGTTTGATCGCTCGTGATTCAGGTTTTTTTGGTTTTGCCACTGCCCTTAGTGCACTGGTTGAAGACTTGAAGTATTTGCCACCCGCCACCCCTCTCTTCTCGTAAATAATGAATCAAAGGACACACAAGATGCAGATTTGATATAATCGCCTATGGATTTCAGGCTGGCCCCTTCTCCCTCAAGAGGCGGCTGACCCGCCTATTTTTGACTGGTTCAAGCCCACTTGCTAACACTCCCCTTGTGTCGTTACCGCTTGTCCAAAGTTAAGCACAACCATAGACCGATCCGGAGAGTATAGACCAGTATTGAGCTTATAACCCTAAAAGATTGAGCCTCACAGCTCAACGGCGTCGTGGGACTTACGAACACGCGCATAAAGGACCGTGGGAAACCAACCTACCTAAATTTGAGAGGTTTTCTCAGTTCAATGATACGTCAGTGACATGTCGATGGTAGTTGAACAGGTTACTGACATATCACTGAAAAATCTGGTGGCCCCTAGAGATTGGGACTATCCAGGAATCAGCCTTGCTTGAACTCTAAAGGTAGATCATTCGGAGGACTTGCTCATGTTCATGCAACTGGTTCAAATGTTTGATCATATGAGGATAGGATAACCAGATCAAAGCGCACGAAAAACTCCTTGTCCCCATTGATTCAACGTTCCCATAGCCTTCACTGTACTAATGGCAATGCATGAGAAAAGGCATCAAGATTCAGGGTCAACTCTGTGGAGAGACGGGAGTTAGCCCGTCAAAAGGACAGAAATCTAGCCAAGAACTGAGGTGGGAGAGCTTGATCATGAAGCAGTGATACTGTAATGGATTTGTGCTTTGGCTCCAAGCATAACCAAACAATGCGTCGCATCCAGTGAGTACGTTTTCGTTGTCTCGTGACATGCTCATCGAAGTAGGATGCGAAAACGATGACTCCGAAGATGATGAGTCAAAACCACATACGCCCCTAATGCCGCTGAGGGACGGATGTAGTTAGTACTTAGGTCAAGGCCACGCTACCGTTTAGCCTGATTGAAAGCTTGTGTGTCGTGCACATCTGGAGCTTGAATGAGAAGGTTAAGTATTAGATCTGAATCATGATGTCCGGTTATCACCGGTCGAAGTCAGAAGTCACCGTTCCACTTCCCCGCTTATTCATTACTTGTTTTGCTTGAAGAATCTGTGATACCATAGAAATTCAACACCCCAAGCGTGATCCCACAACGTCACAGCACAAACGAGGTGCTCATTTCCTTTTTTCACAGATGGGTAAATATAGTACTTTGAATATCCATATTGCGACTCAGTCTGAGTTTCGTCAAGTTGTTTCGTCAAGTTCGACAGATGCGAATGGGGTCACTAGTAGCACTTTCGTTATCCAAGGTACTTGTACTTTACTTCTTGACCTATTGCACTTGGCCTTCTCCTATCAAGACACCTATGCCGTTTTTCGCCAGAAATATGAAGCTATGG